CCCCGGGGTAAAACTACAAACTAAAATTTCAATGGGCAAAAACTTACTAATAAAAATTACAATGGGCAAATCCCCAAATGAAATGGGCAATTGCCCATTTGCCCCCCCCCCCCCTTGGATACGCCGCTGTCTCCCATCTCTACACGATCTTTTGTTTGCAAAGTTATAGATCTTACAAGAAAAGCTCTTAATTAATTTCTTCTTATTTTCGTAGCTTTGAGCTGACAATGAACATTTAGGGCTTCTCTTGTAAATTCTGTAACTTTGTAAAGAAAGGTCGTGTAGAGCTGGAAGACGTCTCATTTTAATCAGAAATGTGCGGGCTACAATTATACCTCATTATGAAAGGTTTTGATTATTTTTTAGAATTTTTCAAAAACTGGTTTTGCAGATAAGCGAGACTTCAGGAGCCATAGGCAAAAATCCTTTTAGGGTCTTTACTAGCTCGATATACTCTATCGATTGAGGTATAACTCGTTAGAAACGGAAGGTATCACCTCGAGTGGTTCCCTCGTCAGATGAAAAATTCTTAGGCCTAGTTTTATACTAAACGTTGTACCGAAGCTTGAGTATCGGTTGAATGGATAAACCTATAGATTTTCAGATCTTTTCTGTCAAAGATTTAGGAATCTAACAGATAAGAATTTATTTCTTCTGCGGATGTTGCCCACACCTGACTTGAAAAGAATAAAATAGATATGACTCAGTCAGAAAAAAGATGGAGTAGAAGGAGACATTTGTTTTAAATTACACGAACAAACGGCCTGTGCGAGAAGAGATATTTTCGTATTTCTCAGGTTCCTGATCATATAATATCTACCTATTTTGAAATGCATAGTAGTTTTCGTTACGCCACAAAGAGGAGTATAATCAGGTAGTCAATCGTGAAAAAAGTTAGTAGATTGCTCTCATACATTTGATAATGTCTTTAATTGATCAACACCTGTATTACTTGTCTAACAGTTGTGTTTGATGGCGTCTCTTTTGTGAACAAATGTGACTTTAGAAAAGTAAAGAACGGTAAGTGCAAAAGCATTCTTCCTTTTTTGTTAACTAATGAAATTATTTGTCAGTATGTTTTTAATGGGTCATCTATAGTAGTTTAGATAACATTGACCAAACAAATAGATGACATGTTTCATGTTACCGCCACTTATTGAATAAGTCAAAAGGGCTCACTTGTTTGCGAACAAGATTTTTTAACATTATAATCTCTTTATTTGATTAAGTTACTACTCTATTATGTGACAAAAGTTGACCTATACACAATAAATTTGCCGTATTAACATTGACTTGTGTGAACGAATATGGTATTTTGATTCCTAGCAGTAGAGGGAATCTTTAAACTTCATGGAAAGGCTTCGCTTTCTGGTTACAAGCTATACGTCTTAAAGATGAACATTTCCGACACTTCTTCTAATTACTTTCAAAGCATAAGCAGAAAATTCATTTTCTAATTATCACAATCCGTTTTGGATTCTCATTTCTGTTTTTATGAATGTATATTTCAGCAAGTTTTCCTTCTAGTAGAACATATTAACAATTAAATGCTTTCCTCTTCTGTTCTGTTTCTCTAGAAAATTAAATTTGAAGCAATTGGACAACCAAAATTTTGAGAACTAAATATAAGAGTTGGCTGGAAGATTAATTGACTGATACATACATGACAGACGTCAGTCAGATAAAAAAACCTAAAATCTGAGTTAAACTGGCATACGACGCAGCATAAAACAATACACTTTTCTCCTTCGTTTATATAAAATTTGCCCGTTCTTTTAAATAATAATTAACCTTAAAAAATAAGAAATGTAGAAAAAACAACAACACTTTCCTTCCTTCTGCTTTATTCAACTACCAAAGTGGTTATAATAGATAATATCTTCTGCTAGTTTTCATCCTTCCACTTTGTGATAAATAAAAATTTTGATCAAATAATACCAAAATTTTATGAAAATTTAATATTGAAAAATATTTCTCAAGTGCTCAAGATCAGATATATGAATTTTGCCTGAAATTATTTAGTTCTTTGAGATGAAAGTAAAGTTTGACTTGTAAAATAGTATACCTTTGACTATAGTCAATGACGTCCGACAAAAATTATTTAATGACAAGACAATGTATATACGATGTATCGTTATCTAAACTAAAATATGAATTTTCGAGATGTCAAAATTCCTTCTGTTTTAATTGTATTCAAAATATGTGGCTATATGTATAATCGTAGTAATTTGATATTACTTTTCTGCCATCCATTTTTTGTCCTATTTGAACACCAACGCAAGAGACGAAGATTGTCGTGTGCAATGACATAACAGAAAAAAGAAAAGAAAAGCTTATCATCATCATCACCATGGAAGGATTCCATACTTGAGTTCAGAGCTTCTTTATATTCTTGCACACACACATACACCCATATGTTTATATTCTAAACAACAAAGAATATCCAGTTACAAATAACATAAAGATTAGTTGAGAAAGCATCATCATCATCACATGCAATATACTTGCACTATGTCGACAATAAATAATGGATTAATATATATATTCTGTTGTCTAAATTATTATCATCAATAAATGTGACCGAAATAAATATTTTTAGATATAAGGAAAATTTATCAGTAATCATTAGAACACTAGTCATCAGAGATTTTCTGACTGATGATTGAAGCTAGAAAGCTTGGTAATCGCCTACTAGACAGAATGTAGTAGTTAAGCTGTAGAATTTAAACATTTGTTTTAATCTGTTTAACAGCAAGTTCACTGTACTGCATCTATTGCACAACAACTTTAATTCCACCGGTCTACAAACTTTTATTCTTTCCCACTACTCCATCGCTTTTTCCTTATTGTTCTGCACACGTTCACGTGAGATTTTTCTATTGTTCCACATTATTTATTTTTGAATTCATTCATTATTAACGATATGTCAACAAACCTAATTTTTTTTTTGTTGTTAAAAAACGTTTTTCTTTTTACATTACTCAAATTTCATGTTTTGTAATCCGATTTCCCTTTCTTTTTCTCTGTCTCTTGTTTAGGCAGATCAATAGAAAATTAAATATTTACTCGAGTGCGTGACAACACACATACACATAAATATACTAAGAAGCATCTGAATATGTCTTTGTGAGAGAGAACATTTTGTTTGGGCAAACAAAGGAAAAATTTCTTGTATCAAATAAAGAACACATCTCTATTGAAACGTTTAATTTTAAATTTAAGTCTAATCGAATAAATGCCTTCACTCATGATTATTTGAATCTCTAAATTCTCTTCCGAGAAGTATTGCAGATATTTCATCAGCGACAGAATCATCAGTGACAGTTTGATATACTTGTATCTTTTAGTTGTTAGATCGGTGTTGCATTAGCATAAGCTAGCCTTTCTTTGCAACAACCATGCTTGCAAAAATGAAAATTCAGTTCAGTTAGGTCTAACCTCTCTTTACCACAAGGGAATGCTAATCCAGAACAATATAAGTATCATTATTGTCTGAAGTTCTAATCGAAAAACAAATTTATCTCAACACTTCTATTCTGATTTGAATCAGTATGCGTTAGTTAGTCCGTTCTCTTGAGATTGCTAATAACAGAGTATCGATCATGTGCTAAAAAGAATATAAGATTTTTAGTTGTTTGTCTATGATTTTCTCTGGTAATCAGAAACAAAACGTATTATACAAAACAGTTCAATTTTCTTTCGAAAGACAAAATAAATAAATAAAAATGAACCGTTTAAATTTTTTTTTCTGTATAAAGAACATATTATAGACTTATATCTGATCGCGCTTTGAAACAAACAGAAAACATAATAATAATAATAACAGCAATATCATAAGGAGTGATAATCTCTCAATGTATTGTTCTCATCGTTTTGTTGCTGTTGAGATATTTTACCATTATTTATATTATGAGAAACGGATGATGCCGACGACGAGGATGGCATGATAGTGGTACTAGTTGGTATTAGGGTGCTAGTACCCACATTTGAAAAATGATGTGTAGTAATATTATTTGTATTATTGAAACAACTTTGAAAGTCAATGCAAAATGGCGAACCGACCGTTGTCGATAATTGTGGACGTTTAAGATCTACTTCGGATAAAACACCGTTATAATCTCCTTTTCCATCGCTATCACTTGAATGAGTACCATCTAATGAATTGTCATTCTGAGAATGATTTTCACCATTTTCTAATGGTTTTCTAAAAACAAAAAACAAATTTAAACAGAAATTTTAGATGTTCCCCTACGTGATTATTTCAGATATTCGTATTCAGGATTTTACCTCATTGTTTAATACTACTCGTATACAAGTTACGAACACAAATAAGAAAAGTTAAAAAGTACAAAAAGAATTGCTTATGTTTCTACTGAAGTAGACTCATTTTCAAATAGACTTACAACCATCAGTTCTAGTTCCATGGGTCATGGCATTTTTTTCTTCTGATTAAACTGGTACAGATCATATTACAGATTGTCATTTTACAACTCAGCCTTCGTCTCTCATTTTTTTTTCTTATATTAGATTGATTCTCACTTCTTATCTTCAAGATGAGAAGAAAACAATTTCTTTACTTTCGGTGCTCTTTTTAATAACGGTTTGAAACAAATTTCTATTTGTTAAATACAAAAAAAACGATGTACATTATATTGTTGGATATCGTTTTAAGATACATAATGGGGTATCCGCCCACATTCATAAAAATCTGCTACACGTGTTTTATTTTCAAGCGGTACGATAATTATAGAGTGGATAATATTTTCAGAACTATTAATCTTTAGGAAAAAAAAACTGTTAATAGTATTTCAAAGTTGTCGTTTCTTGTTCGATAAAGTCGAGTAAACACTGAGTTACTTGTCTTTGAAATAATTTGACTATTGTTTAAAGAAAACTATCAAGTGTATCTATCGATCATCTCTAATGGGAATTGTTTGTATTTTTTCGTATATGTAAAAATGTTGAAATTGTTCTATAAAACGATGTGAAATTAATGTACTTAAGTGCAGTCATGTTGTCGAACAATGTTAGACTAAACACATACTGGTTCAAGACTTTATTTATAAAATTATCCATTTTAAACGATATTATATGGTGTTAGATATGTTTCTCTCTCTCTCTCAATGAAAAATACTTTACTTTATTATAGTGCAATGTTTTTGACTAACTCAACCGGCGAATAAAAAGCGCTATTAATTATTTCGAATGTTACGCTTATCAATATTATAGATTGAATATAAATGTAAAAAGTAATAATAATTTTGAAGCCATATCTAGTATTAATAGACGCTCTAAGGCAAAAAACATTAGAATTTATCATCATCGAATTTGCATACGTTTGGCTTCCACTTATTCACAGACATAATTTTGTTATAGCAAACAATTAATCAGCGCGCAGAAATGGTAATAAAGGATCCAACACAAACATCAGACGTTATATAGAATGAGGAATTCGAACTTTCACGCGTTTACTGATAGATAAATTAGTTCATACGATTGTCTCATGAATGTAAGTTAATGTGGGTTCTATTCAATCATTTTTACACACGTGCTTTGTGTTTTGCTTCATGCTTGATGGAGATTAATGAATTCAAATTATTCCATCACAAGAGCGTAGAAAATTGATAGCAACGAGGCGTTAGCTGAAACTCAAATTGTTTAATCTAAAGGAAGACACTCTTATTATATAAGAGACTCTCAGAAAGATTTTCTTTAATTTAGAGAACTAAATTAAATATGCTTTAATTTATTTAAAAAGATGCCGATTTTTCTCTTCTTTTTTAACAAGTATCCTATTGTAAATCGAAATTGTTCTCATCTCCATCAAATCTTTGATAGCAAGACAAAACAAAATTTGTCTTATTAGAACAATTGTGTTGTTGTTTGTTATCATGGTTGTACTATGAATATGTGTGAAAATTTTGTTCGTGTGTCTGTATCTCTCTTCTTCTTCATTCATTCATTCATTAGCTATGTCTCTCAAATGCTCAGCATGATATTCAACCCGATCAAAATGGAAGAAGAAGAAGAAATAACTATTGCGTACTCACTCATGTTTATTGTATAAACAAATTGTCTCTGATCTTAAAATCACACGACTATCGAGAAAATATTATGTTATACCAACATCGAAAAGAGATATTGTACTCAGACACTATTCTTTTTTTCTAAACATACGATAGACGTATGTTAAGACTCTCCACATTATTATGTGACTTTGAAATAGATCGTTGTACATGCCCTTGTTCTCTCATTTTACGACATATAAGTTTAGAAAAATGATGACTAACTGTCAAGGTCGATTATTAAAACTATTAGGCATCAAAAATCAACTTTCTGTTGATTTTATGACAGTAGGACTAGCAAATTTTTATATTGATTTTTCAACAAAACATCAATTTTTTTCTCTCAATACAATCAACTTCAGTTAATGTCTTCTTATCAAGAAAATAGAGAATCTATTTTATGGTAAATTGACTATTGACTTTAGACTTCAGTTATAAACTCAAATTGTATATATAGATCTTATTTTCAAATAATCATAGAATTGACACATTCACATACACATTGGTTAATCATTTGTTTTTTAAACTTAATCATTTCATACAAATCAAACTAGACATGTTCTAATTCGCACTATACAAATAGTTATTTGTCTTTCTTAGGAAAAAAATTGTGTGCAAAAATGTTCCCTGAAGAATCAAAAATCTTTCTTGTAGCATACAGCTACAAAGTCAGGTCGACATTACACTCCTTGTGGTTTGCATTATGAATAAATAAGAGTCAAGCAAAATGTCTAGTAATTGATATTTATTATCATAACTATTTCATGTTTATTTCTCATTTTAATTAGTACCTTTATAACTAATATCGAACAGGTTCTGTATTTTGATTAGTTATAGGTTAGAAAATTAGAAAAGTACATGATGTTTGATGGTACAATGTTGTATATTAATCGTTATCAACATATCTAACTAGCATAAATAATCAGTGTCAATCAAATAATATGATCAGAGAGACTATATGTATTTTCATTATAGTCTACATTATACACTTACACATCAAAATCTTCTACTCCATACTTTATTTAGAAAACATGTTTCAAATACCTGCGCGCACTACTAATTAATGTTGTTTACCTATTCTAAAGTACTATTGCAATACTATTTTGAAGACCTACGTAGAATTTATGTACCAAGTATTCAACAAAATCAACTGACTCTGATGGTAATACGAGTATGGACAGAAAATATGGATGATAAAAGAATACATACACTCAGCGTGTTCGTAAACATCTGTTTTTCATTAGTACAAAGCATAGAAGAAAAAAAAAGATTCTAATCATCTAGACATTCAATTTTTTAGATAATAAGTCTCGATCCAAACATTTAATTCAATAAACTTTAAATTGAAAATGTATTCAGTTAACGTTAACAGTCGGTTTTATACAAAGTGGCATATGTCTAGCAACGAAAATTCTTCGGTAGAAGCTGATCGTAGAAAAAGACGTCATGTAGCGGCATAAGATTTATATAACTTGATTTATTCGCAATAAGTCTCATATGATTATCATTCATGGTTAGAGAAAGATATTGGATTTTTCAATGAAATGATAACTCACTACAAGGATTAATGATAAACCGGAAGATGCTTTTCTCGGCTATAATATGAGTCAGTTGATTCGTGCGCCATGTACGGCTATTGATGAAGTTAAACGTATAGAATAAAGCGATAATGATTCTTACCTGTCTGTTGCTTCGGCGGCACGATCTCTTTGCCTTCTGTTTTTAAACCAGTTACTAACTTGTGTTGTTGTTAGTCCTGTGCCATCGGCTAATTCTCTTTTTTCGCGTGGAGATGGATAAGGATTGTGGGTATACCAATCGCGTAATGTATTTCTTGATTTTTCTTTGAAACAATAACTTGTTTCTTCTCCATCCCATATCGTACGTGGTAATGGAAACTTTCTTCTCACCTAAAATTTAAAACGTACGATAATTGTTTTGTGTACATGAATTGAGCAGAAATATATACGCGATATTTTCCCACAGCTCCCAATTGTCGTCCTCTCAGTTTTTCTGCTTCATTATAATGTGCTTGTAACCATAATTGTTGTAATTGTGGATGACTTTGTGGTGAAAAATGATAACGTTCTAATATATGATATAATTCACGATAATTTCCCCGACGAAATGCCACTACTGCCTTTGCTTTAATAACACTTTCATTGTTGTGAAAATGATCGCACGATGGTAATGACCATAAAAATGCTGCTAAGCGTTCGATATCATTACTTTGTTGTAATACTTCACAAACACATGCCACTTGCTCTGGTGAAAAAACACTGCCGAATGATGATGGAATCGGGTTACTTTCAAGCATTATAAACTATAAAGATATAAGACATACACAGAGCCATAGACATGAAAAACTATACGGTCGTGGTATTAAACAATATACACATAAGGATAATCGGATCTATGTTAGGGAGAAGGCAAAAGAAACGATCGAATTTGATTTTCAACTTAAAAAAATGAATATAAAGTATGTTTCACGTCTAAAGTTTCATTTTCATCAGAATATAGTAGGGTATAGGATGGACGATGATAGTAGTGAAAGAGAGAAAGAGAGAGAAAATGAAAATAGAAAAAAAGACAAGTAATTTCAACATTTTTTTGTTCTAAAGCATCAGCAGTTTTATTCACGATTCAATTCAAATTGTAGTTACTATCACAATCAGAAGGATAGAAGAAGAAAAACAAATTGAAGCACCTTTTATTATACACCGATCGTAGAAGCAAATAGCAACAAGAGTAAGTAAGAGCGAGACTAAGAGTATTTTTTAAGGAATAAAATGGTTCTCTGATTTGAAGATAAGTGAATAATCTATAAAGCACCTTTAAACATCTATTTATGCTTTTCGGCGGCGCACGCAGTAACTAGTCTTATAACACTGGAGAGAAAAAACACCTTGTTCTCCATTGAAAGTGAATGTATCTGTTACTGTAATTCTCAATGTAATTCGTGTACCTGTCAGATTTGTTATTCTCTTTTATTGTTCCTCTTTACTCTGATGATAACTTATTTTGTCTTATATTTTTCTTGTAGCTTCTAGAGACAAACTTTCACTGGACCACACTACGATGCTCTCTGATGGAATCGATATATCCTTTGTGTGATCATCAATACAATTATTTTCTATCTTTCTCATCTATGAGAACAGACGATCTCTATCAGATCGAAATTAAATTTGAACTGATTTGAAACGTTAAAATAAACACTTATTTTCTTAGTTAATCTCTGTTCATCATGAGACAGGTGATTTTCTCTCTTTAATGGCATTTGTTACTATACACATATATGTATATAGTCTACATCTAATATAATCTCATTTTACACGTATAGTATTAGTAACGTATATTTTCGATTAAACGTATATATTGTTGTTATACAGTGTGTTGAATATCTATTTTTTTTCTACTTACATGTTCTTGAACATGATGCAGTCAATTTCGTATGTGAGTATGTATCGTATTGTATATTTTCTGTTTTTTGATTCTTCAATTTCTATTTTTGTTCATAAAGATCAAATATATATAATATTTAATCGTATTACCACAATTAACAAGGATAATGATGCCTTTGATTATAAGAATTGCTCTTGTTGTTGTTGTGTTTCTTTCTCTTCTTACAGAGTATATTATAGCTTGTCAAATGTGGGTTACACACGGTTGATAATATTTTTTTTTTTTACATTACATATCTATCCTGTTTTGTTTTTTTTCAAAAAAAAAATGCAATATAGACAATCAACAAAAAAAAAGAAGAGGAAATCGCTAACTATATGCAGAAGCAGAGCAACCTATTGTGCAGGATGGAAAAATGAATAATATTTAGTAGGTTCTCTCTGTTGTTGACTGTTGAATACGTATCAAACATATATTATTTAGTATTATTATTAAGAAACGATGACAAATTTCTTCTTCTCTTCGTTTCTCCGTCAAATACATGTTTGATGCGACATCAAAAATTGTTTTATTTTTGACCAATGAGAAATAAAAAATTTTCAAAAGAAAAAAAAACCATGAAGAAAATTTTGTCTTTCTTATATCCATTCATATTTATATAATCCCACCCACCCACACACATACATACTATTCTTCCTTTCTTTTACTAGCAGTTGATGGACGATAGACCATGGAAGAAGAAAGAGAGAAAAGAAAACAATTCCCAGTTTTTTTATTATATATTGCATAAAACAAACGACAACAAGTGCGAGGAATATTTTCTCTACATTGGATTCTTGGTTACATGTTAACGATGGAATAATGCTGCAAGAATTTTTTTTCTTGAGTTCGTTCTATACAATTTATTATTGACAGTAAACAGCTGTTGATAGTCGGTAAATTGTATCTCTCTGTCTATCGTGTACTAGTACCGTTATGCAACCGAGAAGAAGAGTAAAAATAAAATGAAATTTTATTCTTAGATTCATTCCAAGTTAATGTTCATATGCACATCTCATTCTGATTTGGTTTCTTACGACGTTCGATTGATGTACAAAAAATTTTAAAAATATGTTCAAGAAATCAAATTAGAATGAGATACACTCTTCAGAATTCTTATTATGAATTTATTGAGATCTTACAAATCACTTTGAAAATGATTCAAGTCACAAATAACATAATTGATCATGTCCTATTTTTCCGCGTTAACTATACTTTTCATAACAATTGTAAAAGGGAATTACAAAGACGTATTAACCATCTCATATTTCAAAAAACACAATATATTCAAATGCATCAATTGATCTTCATTATTTTACAGCTGCTCAAGTAAAATATTTTAATTAAATTATATGTGAACAAAAAAACAACTGACTTTTTAACTATGACTTATCGATGTCAAGCTGAATTCTGATACTTTTCTCTTTTCTTCCAATATGAGCGGGTGGGTGTAAAAAGAAGAAAATGACAAAAAAAAACAAACAGAATTTAATTTTTATGCTTAAGTGAACATTTTTCATTGGATAAAAAGTAGTCCTGTGTGTTCGATTGGGTAAAATATTTCAAGTCACTTTATTCTTCGATAGCAAAATTTTATTCGAAAGAACGCAGATTATTTTCACAATGAATAAAAAATGATGACGTTTGTCATTTATAAGCCTTTAAATTGAATTCTCAGCAAGAGATGGATGCTGAACCAAACCAGCTTTAAACGTTTAATCATCAAAATCCGAAGACGGCTGATTATGAAAACAGATGCATCATTAAGCCACAAGTTTAATCAAATGTGTTTATATAGGGAAGGCGTTGCAAAAGAAAGCGAAAACCTCATATGAAAATTTTTCTTTAAATCTGATATTACCGTCAGATGAACTTTCCCCAGATAGTTTCACAAAGAAAATTACGAGTTTTGGTGCCCGTGTATTTTCACTTCTCTCACAAACAGGGGCCAATTTCAAAACATTGGCACACTCAAAAGTTACGTTCACACCGAAACCTTCAAACAAACAGGAAACTGTCAGATTACACTGGACCGTCTGAACTGCGTAACATCGGCGCTAACGCTGGTCTGAAAAAATGTTAGAGTATTTTTACAAGACTAACAAAAATGTGTAAACTATCTGGTGCGAAGGCGCCACATCTTAGGTGGATGAGAAGAGAGCTTCTTCAAAAATTTACATATTTAAAAAGGAATTGGGACAAACTTGCAGCAAACTTCAGTTTTATTTGTCCTCAAAAAAACACTCGTTACGCTTTGCCTCTCAAAGTATTGCTCCTTAAATCGTAAGAAAATCGTGAGGCTTTCGAGGCTACAGCATAATTCTCATACTCAGTCTACTCTCTAAAAAAAAAGGTTTATTACGAAACTTAAAAGGGTATAGAGAAGTGCAACCATTTCTAAACCCTTTTAGGTTTCGTACATGGTGCAGTATGAAACTGTTTAAGTGTATAAATTCTAGCAGTTTTTTTTCAAAAAATTTTTTTCTGAGCAAGTGGCCCATTTCAGCAGCTTGGTCAAGTTTTCACTGTATAGGGCGGCGAAAACTGAGCCCACAAAATACTTGAAACTTCTGTAATTTTTGATCTTTCGAGAAAAAATCATGAGGAAAAAACATAACGAAATAAGCAAATGCACTGATCGAGCGTTTCAATGCACTTAAAACGGTTTTGTATTACACCTTGTGCCAACCTAAAAGGGTTTAGAAATGGTTGCACTTCTCTATACCCTTTTAAGTTTCGTAATAAACCTTTTTTTTTTAGAGAGTACCTGTGAGTTCCATATCGTTTTACTCGGTCACGCATCATCTGAGAACGGAATTTAACCCTACGAGCATTGTAACCTGTGGAGAGATGAGTAAAGCTCGACTAATCAGTCACTGGAAATAGAGTACACGGAGATCGCCAGGTTTAGATGTCCTTTCTCAAATTCTATGTCAAAACCATTTTCTCTTCATTTATTGCTTTTAAAATACAGCAGAGGCATTCCCTAGAAAACGTACTTGGGGCCGAGTACTTGGACTAAGTACTTCGTCTGCGTAATGAAACAGGTACTTGCCTTTTTTCCAGAAGTGAATTTACTTGTAAGTGCTTGTCCTTACTTGCCAAATACTTTCAGAGAGTACTTCTTAGCAATAAGGCAGGTATTTCGATCATTGACAAGTACTCAAGTAATCAAGTACTTGCATCAAGTACGTTCTCTAGGGTTTTCTCTTATGTTTTTCTGAAACCTTTTTAACCTAAAGAACCACCAAAAATCATTTTTCAAGACACAAAATTAGCGCTATGGAAAGAGGACACATTGGGCTATTGCACTAGGTACTCATAACCGGTATTTCTGATGCAAATCGTCACTTTTGACGAGAGAACTGGGTCTCAGTGAAGGAATGTGTAGGGAGTTATACTCGGACTTGTAACATTAGCTGTTTATAATTCAATAAACAATTTAAAACATACTGACTATGATAAAAGAGATGTTGTTCTTGAATATGACTGGAAATTGACGATTTATACTTCATAAGCGAAGTGTCTTGTATGTGAAGAAAAAATGAATTAATTTATACTGATGTTAGCAGTGCAGCTCATGCCTTGTTTTATACATAGTCTGTATTCATTGTAGTTTTTACCCCAATGACAGCACACTTTAGGTAGAGTTTTAACATTTCTCATTGTCATTAAATATGCCCTTCCGTCGAAAACATTGTTGTTTGAACATATTCTAGGAAGTATTTTGTAACCATGACCGTTTTATTAAAGAGGAAGAAAACCTTTTCAGCGTTTGATATAAATAAAAATGTATACATGATAGCCGCATTGGTTTTGAAATTGTACTGAAAACTTCGACACTACTTCCTAATTTGATTGTGTGATTTGTTCAAC